TTCTTAGTGCTGCATCGCTAATCTCTATGGCGTGATTATATACTCAGATCTATTAGTTGGAATGTTTTGATCATATATTACTTTTCTTGATTTTGAGTTGAAGAATATATTGTATACCCTAGCATATGGGTTTTCCAAACAAAAGAGGATGAGTTAGCTTCACGCTGTAGATGCTAGGAACCACTCCTGTTGCATCCTTTATCAACTTAGAGTTTATTTCTTGTAAAATTTCAGATATATGTCATCTGTTCCCTTTTAAAAGATTCTGGTGACTATAATATGATAGCTTTCATTAATCACATTCTAGTTTGATAAACAATCATGATGGTTGGAGAAAAGGTAGATCTTGTCTGGAGAGAATAAAGATTTACTCAAACATAGATATAGTTAATCAAAGGCCTATAGCCCCATCTCCAAGTCCTCCTGTTCATCTGGCATTGATCAGCCTCCTCCCAACAGAAAAAGGAAAACACAAAATGGAATAAAGAGAATATTTACATGAGGTTTTACCCACCAAGAATATAGAGTCTTTCTTTCTTTTGGGTGGGGAACTGGTAGAGAGGGGTTAGGATATAGTCAGCTATAACATCTAGATGATGTCTTGATGTCATTTATTTACCTAAAGGAGCCTTGTGACTTTACTGTTGGAAACAATCCTATGCCTACCGTGCTATAGGTGCTTTATTGTAATGGAACTGATGTTAGCCTATCAGTCTATTCCATAATTGACAAGTTTTAGAAAACTCCTTAGCTTTCTGGTACAAGTTGTGGTTCTTATTTCTTTTGAAAAAGGAGGTACCCTATATGGTTTTGATATTGTTACTCTTGCACTAAGAATGAAAAAGCTAGCCCTTTGTAAAACTAATTTCACAATTGTGCTTGGGAATAAGTGTATATCTATTTATTGCAGGCGTTTAATGTTTTGCGGTATGAGATTGGACAGAAGTATGATTCTCATTATGATTCATTCAATCCATCTGAATATGGCCCCCAATCAAGCCAAAGGGTAATTTCTTCCTAAGGAACTCTGTCCAAACATTCTTTTTTGTCAACCACTCTCAAGTCTCAATTCTGTATATGCATTGTAGCATACAGTCTATGAATAATTTAAGATTATAAATTGTATAATAACTTGTTATTTGACTGTGATGTAGAACTTGGTTTTTTGGTATAATGGGCTATGGCTTTTCTTGTTCTGTTCAGAGAGTAACACACTGTTTCAAATATAAGATAAAACCTTGATTGGTGTTCTGATGTTTTTTTTTTCACCTTCTATTGGAAGTTGTTAAGCATGCTAGAAATAGATCTGGTCTTCCTAAATTGCATTTTTTTACTTAGACAGAAACGAATTTTTGCTCATTGATTGGGATTCCAGCCATATGAGCCAAACATTATTTCATGGAAGGCATTTCCATCATAGAAATCTCTCTTTGATGGAGATGTTATTTTAGTTTTGCATGGCATGATGCTTAATTGCATCTTCATACTAGACTTACCTAGCTCTTTGGTTACTATCATTTATGTGAGACCTTTTGGTTTCACTTGCAGCAATTTATTTTTTATCATTGAACATTTTAGTTTCAACAAGTAGTACTGTATGTCAGACTATTATTTAAGCACCTACTATCGGTCTCCCTCATTTTCCAAGATTCTGTGGTATTCCTTCAATAGTGAGTGTTTTTGATCATGAACTGCAACATTCTTCCTGATTACCCTTGAACCCTCTTGCAGGTTGCTTCCTTCTTGTTGTATTTATCTGATGTAGAAGAAGGTGGAGAAACAATGTTTCCTTTTGAGGTAGATTAGAAATAATTTGCTTCATCTCTTTTTGCATTGTTACATTAATTAATTATGGGCACTAGTATTGAGTATTGCCATCTATTTTGCATGTAGAATGGCTTGAAAATTAAAGGCTATGACTACAGACAATGCGTTGGTTTAAAAGTGAAGCCACGCAAGGGGGATGGACTTCTGTTTTATTCACTTCTCCCAAATGGCACGATTGATCCGGTAATTTTCTTCTTTTGTGTCTTCTTGATTGGATACTGGCTGTTCCATTTGATAAAAAAGTGAGCAATTAACTGTCAAATTTACCAAATGGTTTTAATTGATTCGAAGTCTTTTAACGTTTTGCTATTACATAGTATGCAAGTTGGAGAACCATGAATTTCTCTTATCAATTTAAAGATTTGGTATGCATATTATCTAGTATAGAGAGAGAATATATATTGAAGACTAATGTCAAAACTGCCTCCGAACGGGAGGTATGGGAGAGGTTCTGATCTAGTTAATTGTGCCTAAGTTTCCTCCTTCGGATTCTAATTATATTTGCAAAATTCAAATGATTATAAATGACTGTCATTCATTCTTTGAAGAACAAAATTAGAGTACTATGTCCCGAAATACAACAGTTTTCAAGTTATCAAATCAAATGACTCACTATTGTTTCAGGCTTCTGACAAAATTGTAGTAATTTGTGACATGATTTGTTTTGATGGTTGTTAATGTTCCATACATGTTTGATGATATTGCAGACATCCCTTCATGGAAGCTGTCCAGTGATCAAAGGCGAGAAATGGGTTGCTACAAAGTGGGTTAGAGATCAAGAACAGTACGACTAAGCATCAAAGATTGCCTTTGTAATCATCATAATATATCTGTTTTGACATCACAATTCTATTTGAGCTTTACATGAGCATAGTCCTGTCTATGTACAGATTTCTGCAACAATAATAAAGTCAAAAGGGGATACTTGAATTAGTAACAGGGTGAGTTGGGGCTCAACTTCTGTTTGCTATGTATCTTGCTCTATTTTACTTGCTGTACATCCTTGTCTAAACTAGATAAAGCAAACAAACAGTAAAGCTTAATTTCCATTAGAGTACCGTCAGATTTTTTATTTTATTTTTTAATTTTTAAATCCGCTTGAGTTTGCCTCAACATGTATCTTTGTAATTCCGATCGATTATGTTAATGGATTCATCAAAGTTTTAAGTTGGACCACAAGCTTGATGATTGACCTTAAAACTCAATTAGGTTGCATGGAAAAGTAGAACTTAAGATCGTCTAAGGATTAGTTTTGCTATATTAAATTAATTAAGTTATACTATAATCTTAGATAGTTAAATTAATTCATAATTAAAAAAATTAAATGTTTCGTAATGAATATAAGAGTCTTTGATATTATAAAACAAAATTTAAGGAGATAAATTTAATTTGATATCACAAAGTAAAATTTAAGGAAGCAAAATTCAACCTTTCTTTCGACTGAGCTTGGCTCTGCTTAGAGAGTTGAGTTTAGTCATTGTGTCCCCTTCATTGTTGCTTGTGTTTAAGTTCTATTTGATTTTGCAATCCCCAATGTGACTCAGTAGTGATCACGCTATTCATTGGACAGCAGGTGAAATGCACCTAACTCCAATGTTCAACCCTCCTACAAAGCAATAGATATTAACATCTAATTTAACAATTTTTTTTTTTGTAAAAAAAAATTCTATTTTATTTTGAGAAAAGAACGGAATAGAACGGCATTGTACGTGCTCTAACTACACGTGATGTTAGCTTTCCCTTAGGTGGCATTTTTGAAGTCCCAGATGAACAAAGAATAAAAGTACTGATGTTGCTACAAAGCAGATTAGATCAAGAACAGATCCAAACTATGGCATCAAAGATTACCTTATTTGTGATAGTCATTATATACAACCGTATA